ACGGGGGGCTCAAGGGGGCACCCAAAGGGGTCTGGGGGTAATCTTGGGGGTGATTTCTGGGGGTTTTGGGGGTCTCTGAGTGTTCCAGGGGGGCTCCCTGGATGTTTGGTGGTCCCTGGGGTGGTTTTGGGGTTCCCCAGGATGTTTTTGGGAGCCCTGGGTGTATTTTTACGGGGGGCTCAAGGGGGCACCCAAAGGGGTCTGGGGGTAATCTTGGGGGTGATTTCTGGGGGTTTTGGGGGTCTCTGAGTGTTCCAGGGGGGCTCCCTGGATGTTTGGTGGTCCCTGGGGTGGTTTTGGGGTTCCCCAGGATGTTTTTGGGAGCCCTGGGTGTATTTTTGGGCTATTTTGGGGGTATTTTGGGGCTGTTTTGGGGTGTTTTGGGGTTCCCTAGGTTATTTTTGGGCTGTTTTTGGGTTATTTTGGGCTGGTTTTGGGCTACTTTGGGCTGGTTTTAGGCTGTTTTTTGGTTGTTTTGGGCTGGTTTTGGGTTATTTTTGGCTGTTTTGGGGCTATTTTGGCTCTTTTGGAGCTGTTTTGGGGCTGTTTTGGGTGTTTCGGGGTTCCCTAGATTGTTTTTGGAGCTGTTTTTGGGTTATTTTGGGCTGGTTTTGGGTTATTTTGGGCTGTTTTGGGGTTATTTTGGGCTGTTTTGGGGTTATTTTGGGCTGTTTTGGTGGTGTTTCAGGCTGTTTTGGGCTGGTTTTGGGATATTTTGGGCTGGTTTTGGGCTGTTTTTTGGTCAGTTTTGTCTGTTTTTGGGGTATTTTGGGCTATTTTTGCGCTAGTTTTGGGTTATTTTGGGCTGTTTCGGGCTGGTTTTTTTGTTATTTTGGGCTATTTTCAGGGTGTTTTTGGGGGTATTTTGGGCTGGTTTTTGGCTGTTTTGGGGGTATTTTGGCTATTTTTGGGCTGTTTTGGGCTGTTTTGGGGCTGGTTTTAGCTGTTTTGGGGTATTTTGGGCTGTTTTTCAGGTATTTTGGCTGTTTTTGGGCTGTTTTGGCCTCACCGCTGCAGCTCCTGGCCGTCCTCCAGCAGCGCCTCCAGGTGCGCGAAGCCGAAGGCGCGGTAGAAACAATTCCCGTCCGGCCGCGTCTTGCGGATGTACGAGTACTTCTGCAGCAGGTCCTGGGGACGGGGGACACGGGACATCGGGGACATCAGGGACAGCCCCGGGACACAGGGACATTGGGGACATTGGGGACAGCCCCGGGGACACGGGGACAGCCCCGGGACACGGGGACACGGGGACATCAGGGACAGGGACACCAGGGACAGCAGGTCCTGGGGACAGGGGACAGCGGGGACATCGGGGACAGCCCGGGGACATCGGGGACATTGGGGACAGTGAGGACAGGGACACCAGGGACAGCAGGTCCTGGGGACATGGGGACAGGGGACATCAGGGACAGCCCCGGGACATCAGGGACATCGGGGACAGTCCCGGGACACGGGGACACTGGGGACATGGGGGACATCAGGGACAGGGACACCAGGGACAGCAGGTCCTGGGGACAGGGGACATCAGGGACAGCCCCGGGGACAGCAGGGACAGGGAGAGCACAGGGACACCGGGGACACAGGGACAGCCCGGGGACAGCCCCGGGGACAGCCCTGGGACATGGGGACAGCAGGTCCTGGGGACACGGGGACATTGGGGACAGGGACAGTGGGGGGACATCAGGGACAGGGACAGCAGGGACAGTGAGGACAGGGACACCAGGGACACAGGGACATCGGGGACAGCCTGGGGACAGCCCTGGGACATGGGGGACATCAGGGACACTGGGGACAGGGACAGTGGGGGGACATCAGGGACAGGGACAGCAGGGACAGTGAGGACAGGAGGGACAGCCGGGACACTGGGGACATTGGGCACATCAGGGACACCAGGGACAGGGACAGCACAGGGAGAGTGGGGGGACACCGAGGACATCAGGGACATTGGGGACAGCACAGGGACAGGGACACCAGGGGGACACCAGGGACATTCCCCATTTTCCCCATTATTTTCCCCATTTCCCCGTTATTTTCCCCATTATTTTCCCCGTTATTTCCCCATTTCCCCATTATTTTTCCCATTATTTTTCCCATTTCCCCGTTATTTTCCCCATTTCTCCGCTTTAAAAATTCCCGCGCTGCCGGGCGGAGGGGCGGGGCTATGCAAAACAGCAGCCAACCGCGACCGAAAGGAATGCTGGGAGAGAGGTTTTTGGGGGATTTCGGGGCTTTTTGGGGTCGGATGGTGCAGGACGTGGGAGACAATCAGTCACTGCGATCTGATTGGTTAATAGGCGTGGTTATGCTAATGAGATATCGGGTAAATTACAAGGAGCGTGGCGAATGCAAATCATGGTCCGCGTTCGTCCAATCAGATCACGAGCTGTTATGAAAAATAGGTTGAAAACTACCTGGAAGACTCTGAAATCGTGATGATATCGCGATTTCAGCTCTAGCTCTGCCGGTTGCTGATCCTCCTGCACCTCGTTCATTCCGTGTCACGTTCCTCGGCCCGGTGTTGCAGCGCCTCTGGGAACGGTGCACCCCAACAGGGATTGGAATTGTGAAAAATAGAGTGAAACTGAAATTATTACTTGATAGTGGGCGAAACCATATATCACCCATATCGTGATTGTATCGCGATATCAGCTGTGGCTTTGCCGATGGCTGATCCTCCTGCACTTCACTCATTCATCGGCCCGGTGTTGCAGCGCCTCCGGGAACGGTGCATCCCCACGGGCACCTGCATTGGTGAAAAATAGATTGAAAATCCGCACAGCCACAGCTGGTATCACGACATA